CGTGTCCGGGTTGTCCATCTTGACAAACTTCCAGAAGGTGTTGCGCAGCGCCGAGGCGCCGTAGGTGTTGAGCAGCTCGTCGAGCGCCGCCTTCTCCTCGCGCGCCTTGAGCTCGTCCTTGGCTTTGTCGTCCTTGGGGATACCGGCGCCGTCCGGGCCGGACTTCTTCTCGTCCCAGCCACCGAGGTCGCCGCCACCTTTGGCCTTGTTCTGCACGTCGCCGTCGTCGTCGTCCGAAGCGTTCTCGCAGACTTCAAAGAACTTCATCCACAGTTCCTGCAACTTCTCCTCCTGCTCTTCTGTCAAGTTGCCTGGAGTGCATCAAAGCAGAGCGAGTATGGGAAAGCGCAAGGGTCAGCATTTGCGAATCCAGATGTCAACGGGTCGTACGCGGCGCTCGTTTGCGGCGCGAAGCTTGCTGTCTGCTGCGTGCTGCAGCGTGCTGTTCGAGAGATGGTGCGGGTACTCACCGACATAGCCGGGCTGGATCTCGATCTCTTTCTGGCCGATTTCGGTGACCATGGTGGGCGAACAAGACTGGGTTTCAACCATTAACGAGGGTCGGGTATGGTCGATGGGGGTTTTGAGTGTGGTCGGCGGGATTGCTCAGGAGCCGAATGTTGCGTTTTTTGACAAGTCGAGATGATGGATATAGCAGACAGTCTAGGACGGTATGAGTAGACTTGTTTGCGGAGAAGGCGACGTGGGTAGGACGAAAGATGGCGCTAGGCTTATATACAGGCGGGTGAAACGGGTGGCCACGAGTCTATGCGGATCTGCTGTGCAGGTTTGAGGCGTGGCGGCTCGACCCGAACATCGGAGCAGGACCAAGCATACAGCCTCTGGGCGAACGGGCCTTTGGCAGGTGAGCGCTACGCAGCGGCATGCTGGGCGAGGAGGGCGTCGAGGAGGGGCGATTCTGGTAGGATTGCGGGCCAGGTCTCGCCTGGGCAGAGTGCAGCTCGCTTGGCGCTGGGGCGCGGGTGGAGAGCGGGCTGGGCGCGAGGGGGCGGCTAGAGGTATGAGTGGCAGCCGCGGCGGTTGGTGATGCAAAAACCGGGAACCGCTGCTGCAGAGCGCGCACAGAGCCATACCACAATCATGCACTGGCCTCGGCTGAGGGCCCAATGGCGAATGACTCTGGGCTTCACGCCGCACTGTCCTGCCTGCTCCCATGCCGATGGTCAACCAAAAAATGGCTTCCGCCACAGGCGAGCCCCGCGTCGAGCTCAACGGGCCAATGTGCACATTTGGCTATCGAGTGCGAGCCTGGTCTGAACTTCGTGTCATGACAAGCACGCTGGAATAAAGTAGGCATCTGACTGGCGTCGCGACATCGCCAGATTTGCAAGTCCGCCGGGCGTCGCTGACTTTGGCGAGAAAGTCATGCCTCCTCACCAGGCCATATTCGCACGACGGCCGGCGCTTGGCTCGCGGTGCGACGCCGCTAGCGACGTCAGGATGATCATTAAAATTCGCAGAGTGCAGCTGGCCCGCCTCTCGATGGAATGTGGTTCGTGCGGGAGTGGAGGGCACGGACACAGTTGCCGTGCTCAGTTGAACGCTCGGAGCCCAACTCTCGAGGTGCTAAGCGAGGCCCCGGCTCGCAATATATCCAACCACCATGCGTCACAGCAAAGCTAACCCGAGCGCTTTGATCGGCACCAAGCCAAGAGTGAGCGTTGCTATGAACCGTTTCAAAGAGCCACGCCCTGCAGGAGAGATCTATCGAAACATTGTGCGAAGGGCTCGAGCGTGCATGTGCTGCAAAAGGCAAGCCGTGCGGCATGTTTGGTGTACCTGCACGAGGCTTTCGGGTACAGAATATGGCCAAGACATGATAGGATCTCTCAAGCCGGCAGCATCTATCGCCATCGTCTTTGTCGTGGCAGCCGCGGCTGTGACGTTGCGACGTGGTGCTGGAGCCGTTGGAGCCGTTGGAGAGAGTGATGTCGGCGGAGCGTCAAATCCAAGCTTTTCCCCGCATTTCTCTCGCCTGAGACCGCTGCATCCGCCGTAGCATCTCTCCTCTTTTCTGGCCGATGCCCGTCAAAATTGGATTTGCTGCATCATGTCGATTTGTCGTGCAGGCGAGCAGGAATTCACGCGAGAAAATCGCACAGCTGCGAGACGGGGTGACTAAGCATTACCTGTGTAGCCAGAGGCCAGGTCCATCTCGTCGAGCTGAAGGGCGACGTCGTCCGAGATCTGATACCACCAGTTGATGCATAGGCACAGGCCTCGGTTAACTGGCGCAGGGTCCGCAGCGACGAGCTGATGGTCGTGCTGCTGTGCGACGTGGTGGAACCAGCCGCTGGGCAGGTACAGCGCCTCGCCCTCGTGCACGCGGATGGTGAGCGCCGGCAGTGCATAGCCGTACTTGGTGTGGGCCGCGTGCGGTCGGGAAGGGAGGCTGCTTTGTGCATCGGCGTTGAGATCGCGGTGCACATAGGGCGCATTGCGAGGAGCGCTCTTGGGCAATGTCGGGTCGATCGGAATCCATCGAGTGGCTGCACCATCGGCGTCGCGCTTGAGCACGAGGCTCTTCTTGCCAGCCGCATCGGCCGGTGTGTGCTCGGCGTACCTGTATATCGGATACTCGTCGTCGTCGCAAAGGAAGCATGCTTCGGAGGGTGGAAAGACGGTGAACTCCTTGTAGCCGCGGACGACGCTAAAGATGTTTTCGTAGTAGTCGCGGTGCATCGAGGTGCGCGAGGCCGAGGTGCCGATCCAGGTGTTGGTCGCTTCCGGTGCGCAGCCAATCGCCTCGGTTGCCCACGCAAGATCGCTGCGCAGGGACGCATCTGCCTCGGAGGTCTGCTCGAGATCGCGAAGGAGTGGGGAGAGGTCGCCGTACTCGTGCATGCTCAGATTGGAGTTCTGCGACTGGAGGTAGGCGATGCTGTCGCTGTTGCCAGCCACCTGACGCGCGAGACGGTCGAGCAGCTCGGAGAACCGCATGCTCTGCTCGAGCGGAAGGGCAAAGACTGCCTCTTCACGTCCTGACTCGTGATGCTCGACGAGATCGTCAGCTCTTCCGTCCGGAGTGAGCGCCACGACGACGCTGCGTTCGGGTCCCATGCATGATTGCAGATACGCTGTGTCCTTCCATTTCGCCAGCTGTGGACGGTCGTCGAGGCAGCCTTGGATCAGCACGGGCACATGCCGCTCGACAATGTCGCGGAATTGCTGCGACGAGGGTGGCGCAGGCAGACGCTGCGGCCAGGACTCGGATGTGGCGGCTTGGCTCGAAAGGGGAATCCCCTGCTTGCGGCGTGCTTCCACAGCACGTTGACGAAGAAGCAGATAGAAAGGGTCGTCGTTCTCTGACATCGACGGCGGGTGCGGCAGCGCACTGGTCGACGTCATGGCGAGCTGTAGGAATCTTGCTGCCCGCCGTATGAACGTCGACCTTCCAATGGCGCCATCAAGTATGGAGCCAAGAGAGAAGAAACGAGCCTGCTCAGCTGCGTCCTCATCGGGCCGAAAAGGCGTAGACGGAAGGCGATCGGGCCAAGCGATTCGCTTGGATGCACGCGCTGTCAGTGTGTTTATTTGCTGCTGGGATTGAGCTGCTTCGCTAGGCGAGGCGCGTCTCGTGGTGCCTGCATGTGAAGTGTTGGTCTCTGTTTCTTTTTCCTGCCCTTTTGGCAGCTGACGCGGCGGGAAAATGACGAGGCGTGGGCCAAAGGCAAATGCAGCAACGTTCGACGGATACAAGCGGCAGGCGGAGTCAGAGGCGCTGCGGAGCCAAATGCACCAGCTGCAGGCCGATGAGCGAGTGTGGCAGACGCGCGTTGCGGGTTTCGCTCGTTCGGGCGGCGGCGAGGATGGATTCGAATGCTGCTGTGGCCCGACTGGCTCGCATGAAGCTGCACGCTTGCATCCAACACCGAACGCTTCTGAATTGAACCCTGCAGACCAGAAGCGCGGCAAAACAGTCACCAGCCAGACTCACCGCGATCGGCTGCATATGTCCGCCCATCGCAGCCTCGCGCGAGCTTTGACAACCGCCGAAACCAGTCCTCGCTCCTCGCAAAGTCGCCGTCGGTTGCAGTCCTCGGCTTGGCGACTTTGCTGTCTTGTAGCAGTGTTTCGGCTTGGATCCATCCTGCTTCCGATCCATCACGACCATCCCATCCTGTCATCGTCATCACTGCATACAACAGCCAACACGTAATCCTTGAACGAAAATGCAACGCACCACCGCGCTCGAGTCGCCGCCATCCATTGCATCTCCGCGCCAGCCGATGCTCATGTCGCTGTCCACTAGCGCAAGCACAAGCAGCATCGAAGCGAGTCCGCCCAAGCCCTCGTCGCGGCGTCTCTTCCACGACACACCCACAGCACCAACCGCACCTTCCCCACACACGCTCGTATCCCCCATTGCCACCTCCTCGCACACCGAAGCGCATACACCCACCGCCGCCGCAAGCCAGAGTCAGGACGTGTTTGGCAAAATTGACCATACGCCGCTGCGCCAAGAGACGCACTCCACCTCGCCCCTTCCCAACTCGCGTTCGTTTCAAACCGGCGACATGCTCGACCACGTCCTCGATCCCGCCCACTTTTCGCGTCTGTCGGTAGGCAACATCATCGCGCCCGAAAGAGCAAGCTCCAAGAAACCACCAAGACGCCTCCCCACAGACACAGACAGCACCACCGCATCTCCAACACCCCGATCCAGATCATCGGCCAAGCCACGCACAGCTCTCACTTCCATCGCACCCCATAACAACACCACAGACTCGACAACATTTGCCCCACCAAAACCTGCCAGCACAAGCAGCCCAGCATCGTCCGATCCATTCTCCCGTCCACATCGCTCCTCACCCTCGGCACACGACCTGTCGCTGCACGTCAAACACCACATGGCCGCATTGCAGCACAGCCCACGATCGCACTAGAAATAGCCGTCAATGCAAAACGAAAAGCTACAGCATGGACCACATCCCCTTGTCCGGTTTGGGGCGACCGCAAATTCGCCCTTGACGTGCGCCTCAGAGCTGGTAATCGCTAGCGGTGGTGTCCGAGAGCGATAAGACGTCAAAGTTGCGAGCGAGCAATTCGGCCGAGCTGCTCATGTGTTCGTGACCGCCGCCCCTAGCGCCTCCGCGTCCGCGCCCTCTTCCTCGTCCTCGTCCGCGTCCTCGTCCACCACCTCGTCCTCCTCGTCCGCGCGTGGCTGGTGCTTCAAAGTGGCTGCTTGGCTGCACGTTCGCTGCGTTACCGTTGTACGCGCCAGAGCCAGCGCTCTTTTTGGGCGCGACCTGCGCTTGTCGCCTAGGGCGACGACCGACGTGTGCTGCTCAGTGCCGCACGTGATGCATCGCGTGTGTGGGCATGTGTGCATACTGTGGAAGTTGCCCTGCTTACTCATGCGGCACGACGGATTCGCGCACCATGCCAGCCGGTTGGCCGAGCGCAACAGGTACGAGCGCTCTTGATACACGAACCAGCCAGGCACGGCCGTGCGGGCGCCCACCGACACGAGGCCGTGGTGCGTGTGAAGCTCGAGCAGCACCAGCAAACGGCCCGAAAACGTCCCTGTTTCGGCGCGATCGATCGCCCATGCACCGATCACGCGGCCTGCCTGGCGAATCCTGAAATTGCGATGCAGCGCAGCCATGACGTCTTTGAGGTCACAGCTGGCCGCCAGGAACTGAATGCACATTGCAACATGCCTGAAGTCGGGAATGCCGCGGCTGACCGGCTGAGGATAGGTGCCGTAAAACTCGAACGTGAGGTCGTTGTCATACGCCATATTCACCTCGTATCCGTCGGCGAAGATGACGTCGACAAAGTGCTGGCCGTTGACAGCGGGCGGATGGCGAATGTCGAGCGGCGTCAGCTTGTGCCTGCGACACATGGCCAAGATGCTCTGCAGCAGCACATCGCGGTAGCCAGACAGACCTGGGCGGTAGCGCGTCTCGAGCTTCCATCGCACTCCACCAGGAGGCACGCCCGTTGCTTCCACTTCGGGATGCACGTCGGCCGGTTCCGGCACCCAGGTCTTGGCGCGTCGGTAGCCCTGCCGATACGTGAAGCCACTCTGCATCTTGCGAAAGTGATTGGGCTGGTCAACGGTGCTCGAATCGAATGTCTGACAATGCAGGCGGGTTTCCGTTCGTGCTGAAAGATGGAGCTGCAGCGGAGACGGCTCTGTTGGCAGCGAATGGAGATGGTAGCGAGGGATGAGAGCAGGTGGATCTCGACTAAGGCAAGGGGGAAAGCCTAGATGAAAGGGCACATGCAGATGCGGGCGAAATGCATGGGGCGGCGCTAAGGCTGCGGTGAAAGCGGCCTGAGCGCGCGACCCTGACCACGCTCAGCTCATGGATAGGCTGCAGCCACCGCTCACGACAATCGCGTCTTTGTTGCCAAACCGCGCACGCTGCCGCACCGCTTGTCTATGCCCGGCGCATTGCACGCAAGCTGCGCCTTGGTGGTCTAAGTAGACTGCCCGCATCTGGCAGCGTGCTTCGACTCGCGGACTAAATCTGTGGGATCAGGGCCGGCGAAGGACTCGCCGTTGCGACGTACCTCCTCGGCCAGCTCGGCGGAAACATTACAAGTGCCGTCGGCCATGACTGCATCTCGGCGCCGCCTTCAGCCTCTGCGACAGCCTTGGTATTTTCGCGATCGAGTCCGGGTGGAGGAGCGTAGCTCTCGGCAGACCAAGGAAGGGCCTCAGAGAGGATGCAGATGTCAGCGTCAGAGTTGCCTGCACCGGACGTGAAGGCGTCGCGTTGCAAATTTCGCTGGACAGACGATGCAGCAGGAGAATCGCTGGGATCACCTGCTATGGTTAAAGCCACGACTCGTCTCGCACCCTGCTGTCGTGTTAGGACAAAACGGGGTTTGTGGAGCCATTGGGAACCTTGGTACAGCCATAGGTCTGATGAATTTTCCCCGAGGCCGGCGTGCTTGATACCGTGGATGGCGGTCCGCGACCTCCAAAGGAGTCTGGTGCATCGGACAGCTCGATGAATGAGTCGGGTGGAGGAGCGCTTTGGCGGGATTGGAGCGTGGATCGTGATGAAGGCAACATTGGCAGCCGCTTGGTGCGGCTTGCCGCCGCTGCCGTCCTCGGAACTGGTGACGGCCATCTTGTCCTTGTCATAGTCTGTTGGGAGGATGTGGTCGACGGCGGCGCGCTCGGCGCCTTTGCCCGAACGGCTGATGAGGGCGAGGCACCACACGCCGGCGTGGTGGCCGAGCAGGGGACGGGCGTACAGCCCCGTTACTGCGCTGAAGACATTTATCTTGGGTTTGACCATGCCGACGACGATCCGCTTGCTGTCGATGGCGAGGCTCGTGACAAAGAGTCCTGCGTCGCCCAGTACTCTCTGCATCTGAAGTCGACCGCGCTAGCGCGCCAATTAATATCCGGGTAGGCCATATTCAACTGGTTGCTGCAGCTGAAGCGCACCTTGGCGGAGCGATGGAGATGTGCTTGGACGACACTGGTTGATGTGGGTCACGATTGCGGTCAAGCGACGGCAGAGCGGTCGCGCACAGAGGAGCGAGAGAGATATGGGAATGAGGTGCCAAGGTCAAGCCCAGTGATTCCTGTCCGACGATTTCGGAGCTTCTGCGAGAAGATCTTGGTCCGAAACGCTTCGTAGGTTGTGAGAGCGTTGTGTGGATCGGCTGGAAGCAGCGTCAGTGGATGCGCTGGAGCCGCTTTCGAAGGCAATCGTTTCGGCGAGCGTCGCGTGAGCCCGCTATGAGTGGGCTGGTCGCGTGCTCGGGTCTGGGAGAGGAGGCCAAGGCGGAGAGAAACTGGCGGGCGAGGTGTTACGGGGCTTGTAGGCGAGGAGGGGGACTGTTGCACGACTGGGTCATTGTTGACAGCAGCTTCGTCCTGCGTTAAGGGGCAATATCGTGATGATCAACGTTGACCTTGGCATCGCATCACCCTCAGCCCTCAGCCGGACCGCTCTGACAGGGCTGCCGAAAGGGAGTTTGTCGGCGTCGCAAGAGTGTCTGGGACTGGTGAAAAGGGAGGGTCAGGGCTGCAATCGCTGAATACGGTCGAACTGGCCGGGTGCGGGCCGAATGGAGGCGCTGACGAGGTACATGGCGATGCACGAGAAGGACGGAGAAGGCTGCGCGAATGAGGGCGCTTGCGAGGGTCGACGATCGGCGACGGTGGTGCCGGTCTAAGTCCGAGCGCGGTCCGCTCCCAACGGCGACGGTCTCGTTCCGCCAGCCAAAAATGAGCCGGCTCCGTGACCTCACTTCATAATGTTCGACCGACGGAATTTGCGAAGAAAACCCTACCCTAGCGCATGGTTCGAATTTACTGTCGAGCCGTTGCGAGAACAATGAAGCTGGCTGGCTGTCAAAGCATCTGCACCGGGTCTTGAGCGGTTCGTGGAAGGCAGGGCTACACTGTTTCGAAAACTATGCCTGAGCGGAAATTGCATATTAATTTATTCTCGCAAAAAAGCGAATTTCTAAATTGAACCGTGCGCTGTCACGTATTCTCGGGAAGCTGCAGGCATCCGAATACAGTGTCGAATGTTTCTTCAAAATCATTTGTGGGTATCCACCTTACCACCTACCGTACATCCTTTCGAGCAAGCCCCGACAATGAGTTCAAAAGCGTATCTTCAGCCTCATCAATTGGTATCTCGCAGTCGAAGACTCAGCATCAGCGACGGCCCTGTCCGTGCCACAGTGCTCAGTGCTGGTCGGATGCCCTGGCACGTCTTCGTGGAAAGCATGCTGCGATATGGTGTTGGTGCAGGTGAAGCATGCCTCGCCTTAGGCGGCTTCAAGATGCAGAGATTGGTTCTGGTCGTCTCATCTAGTATGCACATGGCAGCGGCCTCGAATGACTTCCAATTTGATTCAATCCCAGACGGAACATCGTATCTGCCAGGTGCCACGCTCCATACGTTGGATCTAAGCATCCTAACCGGACGTCAAGACACTTCCACCGGTGCAGCTTTACCGGTGGCAGATGTGAATGCGGCGTACTTGCATCAAATCGGAGATAGCGCGAACCTCTTCTCCTTGACTTCCGCTGGACTTAGCCTCGTCCTAGACCAGGACAGGGAATATGTGATTATCGGTAAACTCCTGAAAAGCAACACCGCTGTTGTGCACAATCACATCAACGATCGGCCCTGCCTCTCGCGGGTTGTTGGAGGTGTCTGGGTAATTGTTGTCCAAAAATTATGCACTGGATTCACACCCCACACATTTGTTGCTCAGTGATCCTTTACAAATTCTTGTTGCGACTGTCAACAAGTTCTACCTCCGATATGATTATCCGGATTCACATCTCCACACCCAGATCCAAGGTCGCCTGCAACGTCGTCCTCGCAAACGTCCTCAAGACCTTCTTGCCCGAAGTCATCTCCGACGAGCTCACCCAAAACATGAAGATCGTCGACCAGTACAGCTGCTATGGCACGGACGCAGGAATGAAGCAGCCAAGAGCAAATTCCTCCTCAACGACG